TTGACTGACATTGGTGATAGATAGGTCGAAGGATTACAAATTTCTTTTCTTTGATACAAAAAGCCGATGGTGATCAAACAGTCTTTCGATCAACTTGTTCTCACTCCAAGTAAGGCTTCTAAGGTCCTAGCATAATACTTTTGATTATGAGCCTAAATCACAGATTATGTTGGGTTCAACTAATAGTTTTGTGTTGGAAAGTCACTTGTGGTGGTGGCATGAGCTTTTGGCATTTCTAACTGCAGTCTCTTGTGACGTTTTGCTTCTCCTTACACCGATGTTTCATGCTTTTTTGAGACATTGGAGGATTCTTTACCATGTCTTTTCATTGTATACTTGATAATGATGAATTCCTAGAATACTTTGTACTAAGACTGATTTCTATAGTACAATGTCAGTGCCATTTTATTCTTCTTCCAGCTCCATGAAACAGTGTAGCTACTTAATTTAGAAGCTTTTGTTAATTTGCATCTTGTCATTCTGGACATACTTCATGTTTATAGTATGATCATTAACTTCTCATGTCAGTTCTTAATTTCTTTTATATGATTAGATATTTGTATGGTGTCATGGAAAGATTATTCTTTTGTACTTTGGATTATTACAGAGATAAGACTGTGTAATGACTTTAGATATTTTTTTCTTTTTTGAACTGATGATCTTTTATAATCATTGATCGCAAATAAAATCTAAATTCTACTCGAGAGTTTAAATATACAAAGTCTACTACAGGCCATAATTCATCTTAATAATGAGATATGTCTGCTCATTTGTATCTTGACGCTATCATTGATCTTACCGATACACGTGTATGAATCCGACTCGCCAGGCTTGTGTTCATCTCGATCAACACCCTAATCGGATTCGGATTTAGATGAATCCGCTACCATTTCTGCCCGCCTGAGTGGATAGTGGTCAGGCCGATCCAATCTACGGATCCATCCACGTGGCTTCCTTTTAGCGACTTCGGTGGGGTCATCCGCTGCCACACGGCCTATTCCTAAGTCTTTTCCCCGCCCCTCTTATTCTCGACACTACCTCTTCCATATCTCCTCCCACTTCCATGGCTTCCTCCGCCTCCTCCTCCTCCTCCCTCTTCTCGCCTCTCTCTCCTCTCCAAATTCCATCTCGATCCGAGCGTGGCATTCTCTCGGATCTTCGCTTAGGGTTTCGTCGCACCCGCTTTTTCCGCAATTCGAGAACCCTAATCCCGACACCGTCACCCCAAAGGAATTCCCGCCCCGATTCGATCCGCGCCGTTCAAACCGACCGCACGCCCAGCCGTCCCTCCAACGAAGGCGGCGGAAAGGAGGACGCCGATCCCATTGAGCGATTCCTGAAGCGGGACTACTCGCAGTGGGGCTTCGTCTCCGACATCGAGTCCGTCTCCATCCCCAAGGGCCTCAACGACGGCACCATTCGCCTCATCTCCGCCAAGAAGGGCGAGCCCGAATGGATGCTTCAGTTACGCCTCCGCGCCTTCCGCCGTTTTCAGTCCATGCGCGAGCCGCACTGGTCCGACAATTGCTACCCGCCCATCGACCTCCAGTCCATCTGCTACTACTCTGAGCCCAAGCGGAAGCCCAAGCTCGGCAGCCTCGATGAGGTCGATCCCAAGCTCCTCGAGACGTTTGATCGCCTAGGCATCCCTCTCAACGAGCAGAAGCGCCTCGCCAACGTTGCCGTCGATGCCGTCATCGATTCCACATCTATCGCCACCACGCACCGTGCCGCCCTCGCTGAGAAAGGTGTCATCTTTTGTTCCATCTCCGAAGCCATCAGGGAGTACCCGGAGCTTGTCCGCCGGTACCTGGGGGAGGTCGTCCCTCCCGGGGATAACTACTACGCGGCCCTCAACTCTGCCGTCTTCAGCGATGGGTCCTTCTGCTACATCCCCAAGGACATTGTGTGCCCCATGGAGATCTCCACGTACTTCAGGATTAACGATCGGGAGACGGGACAATTCGAGAGGACGTTGATTATCGCTGATGAACGGAGCTACGTCAGCTATCTGGAAGGCTGCACGGCACCGTCATATGATAAGAACCAGCTACATGCCGCGGTGGTGGAGCTGTACTGTCATGAGGGAGCTGAGATCAAGTACTCCACGGTGCAGAACTGGTACGCTGGTGATGAGGAAGGCAACGGTGGGATCTACAATTTCGTCACAAAGAGGGGGCTTTGTCAAGGTAAAGGGTCGAAAATTTCATGGACACAGGTAGAAACTGGCTCCGCAATCACATGGAAGTACCCCAGTGTAATTTTGAGGGGGGATGACTCGATGGGTGAGTTTTACTCGGTGGCACTGACTAAAAATTTCCAGCAAGCAGACACCGGAACAAAGATGATCCATCAGGGGAAGAATACAAGGAGTCGGATTGTCTCCAAGGGCATCTCTGCTGGGAAGTCTACGAATTGTTACCGAGGGCTTGTTAAAGTCCAGCCTGATGCAGAAAATTCTCGGAACTTCTCACAATGTGATTCTATGCTGATCGGTGACGCAGCGGGTGCAAACACATATCCCTACATAGAGGTAAGCGGCTTATCTATGGCTAACAATGATAGATCATTCTAGCTGATATCATAAAAGAGACCTGTCATTTTACTTCTCCCATAAAAGAGATGCTTAATTAAGTTTCTATTTGTTATGCAAACCAAACATTTTAGGTCATTTAGAAACATCAAATTTGTTAGTTTTCTTGAAACTTATATGTGATGATAGTAGAGTACACTGCACTAGGTCTGATATGTGCTTTGTATTCATAGACATCAGATAGTAATTTAATTTGTATACTAACAAGTCCATACCCATGAAATGTTTAAATCGGGAATTGACCATGTCAGCCAACCTGTAACTTCTCCTCCTTCACTTTTATTCAAATTCTTGTTGTTGGCATTACTTAATAATCTTGCCTTTTTTTGTGAATTCACTCTGATTTCGTGACCATCATTAAAGTTAGTTGTGTCCTGTTATTTATTTTTGCTCTCTCTCTCTCTCTCTCTCTCTCTCTCTCTCTCTTCCTCTCTCTCTCTCTCTCACTCGCACACATTCTCTGTACCCCCTTTTTTTTTTTTTTCTATTTTCTCTTTTAAAAACACTGTCCAACAAGAACATTCAATTTTTTGGCTAGAAGAGTTAAAAACCAATTAAGATTCTCAAAATGTCATTTCGATATCTAGCCTGCAGAGGTTTGAGGAATACAGAAGATGAAATTGTCTTTATCTGCTTGCTAAGGGACTTGTTTCAATAGCATAACTTATCAACATACTGTAACAGTTGAACAGGTCATTCTTGTTTCTGAATCTATCCTTGATTGTTCTTGATTTTTCCTACCATGCACTTGATCAGATGCACAAAAAAAAAAAAAATCATATCAGAGGGATGACGGTAACATGGTCCCGGAGGATCATTTTCTTCTTCCTGGAGGTTTATGACTATACACATAGACTAGATACTTATTCTGACTATCTTGATGAAATTGCCAGATAAGTGGATGGTCATGTTATTTAAAATTGAAAAACCATGTTTGAATATTCAAGGGGACATTTGGTTTGGGTGGTCGGAAACCTGGCATTTGTAATACAAGTGGTAACTTTCAGCTTGGTGGTTGTTTTGTTATTACTTATAGTGTAGTGATTTTCAGCAATATACTTGGCAAGGCTTGTTGAGCACTTAGTGAGCCAAAGTTATTCAACTTTGTATATAATGTGCCATGACTCATCTTGAGGGTAATTAACTTGCTTTCTATTTTCTCACTCTCAACTATTGCCAAAACAAACTTGCTCTATTAGATATTGAATATTCTAGGATTGTTGTTGTGTTTTTTCTTTTTTCTGACCTGTGCGATCAACATACTGTTGTTGACACAGCATGGGATCTTAGCACATTCTATGCTATATTTTGACTTTGGCTGGCTGCCTTGGTGATACTAGTATTTCCGAGCCAATTGACCTGTTTTAGAAAGCACACGTCATCACCTCCAAAAAATAAATTCTGTATTTCCATAGGCGCTTATGCGTGTATCTTTGACATTCTTGGCAATGAAATATATTGGGTAGATAATTATGAATTACACGATCCATAAGGAAATGGAACATCTAGTCAGCAGTCTGCTAGTATCGATTGAATTGGCATCAGTATGGTGCTATGGTATTTTTTTAACTGTACGTTCAGTGTTGATGTTTCTTCTGTGTAGTACATACTGATGCTAGATTATTATATGCACCAATAAATCAATTAATCTTTTATGGCTGTAATTTAAATCAATTGCTTATTCTTTAATATTGATGTTCGGCTTTTCATCAACCAGGTAAAGAACCCTACAGCTCGTGTGGAGCATGAAGCAAGCACTTCTAAGATAGGTGAAGATCAACTCTTCTATTTTCAGCAGAGGGGGATCGATCATGAAAAGGCTGTAGCTGCAATGATTGGTGGATTCTGCAGGGATGTTTTCAACAAGCTCCCACTGGAGTTTGCCTCCGAAGTGAATGCACTCATGAACTTGAAACTGGAGGGGTCTGTCGGGTAAAATTCCTCTTTCTCTCATCGGTTACTGATGCTGTGACTTGTTTGTTATCCCTTGTATAGCTTTGTACGAACTAATCGACTTCCAGTAGACACACAAAAGCGCACTTGAGATGGTTGCTTATTTGTCAAATTCAAGCATACCTTTTTATTTTTATTTTTTTTGTTTCTGTAGATGAGAGTGATTCTTAGATTGATTGACCTGTATTTACAAATGACAGATGATGTTGATCAATCATGCACAGTATCCTCAAGCAAGGCAGCCCTTTTTTCTTTTCTCCATTTCGTTTGTACCAAATTGAGTTCAATGGACCTCTACAACATGGATGTTCCCTTAATGATTCTGATATCTATATGGATCTTTTGTCTTTGTCGCATTAGATTTAGTCCCTGTGCGAGCTTAAACCCACAGCAATAATTGTACCCTTTGCATGTTGAGCTAATGCGCTTCTGCCTTCTTCTCGTTTTATGCAATTCTGTGCTCGCACATTACCTTAGTGATGAATACGATTGCAAGGTTTAACTTTAGTCTGATGACATCCAATTGCAAGCGCTGCTCATTATAACTTGGCCACCCCACCTTAAATTGGCCGATGGCTTCCCCCACCTTTGATTGGTACCAACTGCTCTACCAAACTCTTTCTAATTAAACACGGCCTCACTACAGCCTCCCTAACAGCCCATCCAACGAACACTTGGTCGGCCCCCTTATATATCCACCAAAACCCTCTCCCACTTCTCCATCGGATCCCATTCCCTCGCCTCGCCTCTTAACGATGGTTTCGACTCACCTCCCCACCAGCCTGTGCAAGTACCTCGCCCTGTTCCTCTTCCTCCTCCTCCTCTTCCCCTTCCTTGTCGATGCCCGCGCCCCAGGACGCATGAATGCAATCGACCAGTGCTGGCGCCGCGACCCGAAGTGGGCGGCGAACCGGCAGCGACTCGCCGTTTGTTCCGTGGGATTCTCCGGCAAGATGAACCAGAACAGGGGCCGCGACTTGACGATTTACCTCGTCATCGATCCCAGCGATGATCCGGTGAACCCTCGGCCTGGGACATTGCGGTACGGCGCTACGCTGCTCCCGGGGAAGGTGTGGATCACGTTCAGCAGGGACATGCAGATCAAGCTCGTCCGACCTCTCGTCGTGAAGAGCTTCACCACTATTGACGGCCGCGGCGCCGACGTCCACATCGCCTACGGCGCCGGCTTCTTGCTTTACGAGGTATGAGTCCCTGGATCCGATGAGATTGTGCCCGCCGCATCCTGAGCTGGACTGTTGACGATGGGCAGGTAGAGAGTGTAATCATCCACGGGCTGCAGTTCCACCACATCCGCTCCAAACCCCCGGGACCGGTCATGGAACCGGAGGGAGAGCTCACGCACATGGCAGGCGTGGACGGCGACGCCATCAGACTCGTCGCCACCTCGAAGGTCTGGATCGATCACAACACACTGTATGCATGCGAGGACGGGCTCCTCGACGTGACCCGCGGTTCCACGGGGATCACCGTCTCCAACAACTGGTTCAGGGACCATGACAAGGTGATGCTCCTGGGACACGACGACGACTACCTCGAGGACAGGCGGATGAGCGTGACCGTCGCGTTCAACCGCTTCGGTCCCAACTGCCAACAGCGCATGCCGAGGTCAGCCACCGATCTCCGCTCAGTTCCCTCGCGTCGCAGCATGATGCAGCCAGCACTCGGTGATCATGAAACTGACGTCCAACTATTGCAGGATAAGGCACGGGTATGCACACCTGGCGAACAATCTGTACGACGGGTGGGGGGAGTACGCCATCGGCGGCACCATGAATCCTAGCGTTAGGAGCGAAGGGAACCTGTTCATAGCATCGGGCTCAAGCAATAAGAAGGTCACGCTGCGAATGGTCGGGGAAGGCGGAGGCACTTCCTGGAATTGGCAATCGGTGAATGATGCCTTCCTCAATGGAGCTTTCTTCCGGCAGGCAGGATCACCTGTGGCCGCTCCGAGGTACAATAGGCGCCAGGTGTTCCCTGTAGCGAGGCCCGACGACGTGAGGTCATTGACGAGCAATGCCGGGGCTCTCCGCTGCCGCACCGGACGCAGATGCTAACTGAAGCCCTCGGAATGCATCAGGATACGAGCTGCTTCTAAGAGGAAGAGCGCATCGATAGAGGATCATCGAGTGACTCGATGTATATATCATGTGCAACCTCCAAATGCTCGAAGCATGAAATCTAGAGGCTATTCGAGTACCTTCTTAATTTTCAATGGAAATTAAGCCTTTATTGAGAATCAAATCCTATGCTTAGAAAGTACTCTGAAATATAAATCAATACTATCCGGCGATCAAAATATTTAAATTAAAATTGATTATAATATACTCATCATATTTTTATAAGTCAATTTTAATCTTATTTATTTTTTATGTAAAAATAATTGAAGTGTTACAGTGGATATTAGTGATGTCTAGATTAGTTTGATTTGATTTAGGTTTATGTTCACGAATATTTGTTTAGTGACTAATTTGATGGATATTAGTGATGTCTATATTAGTTCGATTCGATTCAGGATTATGTTCACCAAGGAACGTTTGTTTAGTGACTAATTGGAATAAAGATCGAAGTCGAATGAGATTTTCAACTAATCAAGTATTCTAATTAATTTTAAGATAAAAAAATAAAAATTTTAAATAAATAATAATTAATTTTGATTATAGTAACAGAAGAATATTTTATAATATTTAATGATATATTTTTTATGATTTATATATTAAACTAATTGTGCAAATATTTGAATGGTTTGTATTCGCTGACTATGTAGTCACATGTGGATGGATGGGATGAACACATTAAGATAAAAACTATATATTATTATTATTATTATTATTATTCACTACGTGAACACGTTTGCCAATGTGAAAAGAAAGGGTAAAGTCGTATAGCCGACAACTTGGCCAAGGAAACTACTAGATGGCGTTACCGAGAACTTGTTTGTTTGGTCAACGAAGGAGTTGTCAACGTTGACCGTGAACTTCCCATAGAACATCGAAGCGGGCTACCTTTCTAAAAATGCTTCGCAAGGAGTGACGTCACACCAAGGCGGCAGGCTTCTGTTCTTTGACGACGACCCCAACAGTTTGTTGATTTGACCATATTTTGTTTTTAATTTTATAGCATTATAATTACCCATAACATCACAGTGTGTGATGCCTACACGCGTGTATCAAATTCATTATATATCTAATTGGCATGTCCACATGACATATGTATACCAACATGGGAGGAAACGACGCATTAATTTGCGTGTGTACAGGGAAATTGAATGTTCGTAGAGGGATCTAAAAATTCTTTAAGTAAGACCGAGTGTTGTGTGCTCAAAGAGATTAGATCGCCAAGTCAAAGTTTGTAAGGTAATCGATCCATAGATGTCTTCTGGATGCTAACACCTGTCGATCCATCCTCCTTTGAATGGAGAAGTTGAGGAGGAGATGAAGCTTCCATGGAAATATAAATTGCTCGATCACCCTCGGAAGTGAGCGTCTGTATCTCCTCCATCTCTTCACACCACACGTTTGAAGTTTCGAATAGCTTTGCAACACATGGAGGAGCGCAAGGAAGAAGTCAAGGTCCAAGACTCACACGGGGTTTGAAGCCGCCGAACACCTTCGAAGAACCCATCCATTCGTCCGGTCTTATATATCGCCTCAATCTATCTTACACGCCAAGGACTTCATTCATCCGATCGACCTTCCACCTTCGATTGCGAGCGTACTTTGAGGCCCATCGGACATGGCTGAGCGCCACCGAATCCACCCGGCGGTGGACGTCGAAGCTCTGTTGCCCTCTTCGTCGCACGCTCCCAGTAAACCTCTGCAGACCCAGGCGGCCGAGAAGACCGACCATCCGCCACCGCCGCCGCCGCCGCCGAAGAAGCGGAGGAGCTGCTGCTGCCGGTGCCTGTGCTGGACCGTCCTCACCGTCGTCATCCTCGTCGTCATCATCGGCGCCATCGTCGGCATTCTGTACCTGGCCTTCGACCCGAAGCTCCCCAAGTACTCCGTCGACCGCCTCGCCATCTCCAACTTCACCGTCGACGACAACATGACCGTGAGCGCCACGTTCAACTTGACGGTCACCACCACGAACCCCAACAAGAAGATCGGCATCTACTACCGGGGCGGGAGCCACCTGAGCGCCTGGTACACCAACACCAGCCTTTGCTCCGGCACCTTCCCGGTGTTCTACCAGGGCCACAAAAACACCACGGTGCTCAACCTGCTGCTCAGCGGCGAGACGCAGCTGGGGAGCGGGCTGCTGCAGGAACTGCAGCAGCAGCAGCAGACGGGGACGATACCGCTGGTGTTTCGGGGGAATGTGCCGGTGAAGGTGAAGCTGGGGAGCTTGAAGCTGCCCAAGGTGACGTTCAAGGTCAAGTGCGACATCATCGTGAACAGTCTGAGCAGCAGCAACACCATCAGCCTGAAATCGAGCAGATGCAAGTTTAGGTTGAAGCTTTGATTCCTCTCAGTTGGAATCATCATCTCTTTCTTTCCATCGGCACTGTTGATGTGGAGTCACCCAATGTTGTTTCGTTTTGCATAAAGATTGTCGTCTTTTTGGTTTACGATATACATTTAATTGTCGTCAATTTCCATCGATTGTGTAAATACAAATCTTACCCATATTGATCTTTGGTAACTTATCTCAAAAATATATCACTTCTTTGCTAATAGCTTTAGTTTATAGGATCATTATTCATTTAATTTAAAATATTTATAGTAGTTTGTGAGTTCCAATCTTAACTATTATTTGTGCAATATCCTTCATTCTATCACAATTATATCATGCACTAATCAGTGGGAATGATATTGCATAAATAATAATTAAACGTCAAGTAAAATAAAAAGGGGGAAATATATGATTCCAACTCATAATCTCTGATGAATAAATACGTATATATATATATATATATATATAATAATGTTTGGATGGTTGGATATATATATCCAAGTAATGAAGGTGGTGGTGGCCAACTCAAACACTCATATCCCCTACAAGTATTCAAACATTAAGCTTTTTGTTTCTTACCATAGTTTTTTGTTTCTTCAAACATTAAGCTTTTTATTGAATATTTTTAGTTCTTTATCCTTGGTATAATTTTGTAGATTCTATTCAGAAATGTTTCTTGAACTTTTAATTTTTGTCGGAGTGGAAACTTGAACAAGTTGTACAGTAATAACCAGTATGTAAAGTAAGCAATAGGTTTTTGGATGCTTCCCCAGCCATCTTGGCCTTTTGTGTTTCTTCAAGTTCTTTGGGTCGTCATTCTCTATCTTGATCGTATGATGTTGTCTAATTGAAACGAGTAATAGATGAAGAATAAAAGAATAAATATAGATGGCAGTTGAATTTTAAGTTGCTGTTCCAACAGAAAGCAGATGTTCAGCAATAACATCTTTCAGTCAATTTTACTCTACCTGATATAATGTATAACTGTATATACAAAGGCCATCAGCCTCTGGTTTTCAGTGTCATCTTCTTTTTTCCTCGAAGGCTTAATGTTGACAGCAAAAATGTAAATGAACAGTATGATCCTTTAACAGTTTTATGATTGAATTTTCTTTTAAAGAAATTAAAATTTGGAAAAATCAATCTTCCTTTCTTCTTATATAGAGAGATATTAATGTGGATGTAATCTGGTTTATATGGTGAGGTAGCTTATATTTGAATAAGGTTGATCTGTATAGAAATTGTTAATATTGTTAACTAAACATGATGTCAAGAAAACTGTCATTTATAGTTTAACATTCAGTAAATTATGTATGGTTCCCTTACATACAATCTGGATTACCATTTGACACATTTGATGTGACTTCTAGACTGATATAACCTTACTCCTAAATTTGATCTCACAATTATTTTATTATTTAATTCCCTGAGAAGTGGTTCTCACATTTTTTTCCCACGAAAATATTATAACAATGTCACAAAATATTTTGATCCAGCTTCTTTGTTGCATCTCTATTCGCTTCCAGCATTGCCTATTAAGCAATAAATATTTTTGTAAAAGTTCAGGCAAAGTTTTTCTTATCATCTAGGTTATAACTGCAACTACTTATATAAACTAACAATCTTGCCTTATTTTCAACATATTATTCCTTCTTGGACTTGAAAAGTATGGAAAAGGTGATCAGAGGAGCATTTCCCGGAACTTTGTTATCTCAAGAACACCTACAGAAGTTGCAAGCCATGCACATAAATGTTTTATTCGATTAAACTCAATTAATAAAGACAGGAGACGAACAAGAATCCATGATATCACCACTGTGATGAATGGAGATACATCACCAGTCAAATTGATGCCTCTCTGGAAGCTGCAGGGTAGTCTGCAAAAATTCTTTTCAATCATCTGCCGCCCTCTTATTCCTGCAGTACGCACACCAGTAAATCTTCCTGTTCCTGCTGCATCCCCTATGGTCTATCCATTCCAAACCCCATTTTCTGGTGCCGTAGTTTCTGCGCCCCTGTGAGCATCCCGCCGGCTACCTATCAAATGCCTCCCTGATCATCTATTAGCTAAGTACATAAAACCTCAACGTAGAAAAGAATGGCACATCTGCTACTTGCATCTACTTCTTAAAACTGTCAAATAAGCTTAGAGCTTCAAGCACAAATTTCCGTAATCGTGTTTGGTAGTTGTACAATTGCTTGTTTACTTACTGAATCATGTCAAAAAAAGCTATAATAGAGGAAACTATTGATACAGGAATCCAATATGCAGTAGTTATGTCAGTCAAAATAGAAAAGAGCAGCTTTTTCTGTGTTCAGTATTCAGTCAAATTCGATGGTCTCATTCAACCTGTTCGAGCAGTTCATGCTGACATATTAGTGAATCTGCAGATCTTTTGTGTCTAGATTAGGTTGCTTTTTGTAGTTTGTGTCTAATTCATATTCCCATGTGCTTAATGTCTTGAATACCATATAAAGTTACTTTGTGCATTTTTTTCTTTTTGACTGAAATAGTTGTGCGTATATTCAGCTTTGATTTATTTAAAGGATAGGCATGAGTGATGCCAGATCATTGTCTTTTAGAATTGACCACTACTTACTCTCTTGGCAAGTTATCTGAAGTAAATTGGTGACATCCTAATAAATCATTTTACTACCTTTAGTATTGGTGCATGATTTTCTTTTAACTGCATGAGCTGATTTACATTGAATGTGTTTTTAAAATTGGATTGATTCTATCTGATCCAATTGCATCTCTGAAAGACAACTTTTCTTCTCTTTTTTCTTTTCTGAACTTTGGAAACCGATTACATTAGCATTCTAAATCAGAATAATGGAAATGTGACAAAAATTTGTTTTACATGTAAGATCCTATTATGATAGAGTCCTAAGAAACTTTTGATAGATCTTATAGTGCATCTAACTTTCACTAAGTGATGCAAGTATTAGTGGAAGAAAATGGAAGCACTTTCCTTCCATGGGAAGGCTGACTGATCATTCTCTGATCTCATTCAGTATATTCACTTTCCAGATAGACAAAGAAAGTTAATATTGTCCCCTCTAGCTGAAAGATTCAACAAAGCCACCACCAAAAAGACAGCAGAACAAGCTGCTGACTCAATGATGTGTCAGGCATGATGGGCAACCTTAATATGATAGTTTAAGTGATAACAATAAAAAAGAAACTGGTGGTATTCTGTTCAATCTAAGCACATGGAATGTCCTTGAATGATAAATGTGATTAGCTCACAATCCAGAGTTCTTTTCCTTTTACAGTTGCAAGCAGTCTTCTCTGGTTCATGTCACAAGAAGAAAAATCCAGTATAGCTAATTTCCTAGGTTGCTGTAAATTACTTGGTGCTTCTCAATACTTGGAAATTCCTGCAATCCATAAACATTTTTGTAGAATTTGATTGGTTCAATAATACCACAAGTAGTGGAGATGCCAGTACCTGGAAATAGTGGAAACCCACTGCAAAGATAAGTTCAGAAGAACTTTTGGTTCTTATCCTTTTTACTAGGATCATGACTATGCTTTTGTGCTAAATGAGGTGATGAGGACTCTCCTCTTTTTCTCTTCTTGCTTTATGAGTATGCCTTTATAACCGATGACATTAGGATGACTGTGCATCACAACTCAAGATGATCAATACAAAGCCACATTGTCACCTTATAAAAGCAGACTTGCTAGTCTGATAGAAGCCAAGCATCTCATATAGCAGTGTCGGTAAAAAACGTGAGCTTGATTTCAACATGAAGATCCCAAACAGCAACCAAGTGGCAGGAATTCCATTCAAGTCCCTTCAAACTGTTTCTGAATCCAGAAGATTATGTCTTCATTCTACCTCCTCTAGGTGCTCCCGGTACAAACAAAGTATGTTTTATCTTCTCTTACACTCGGCCACTGGTCTTTTTGGTTTCATCTTTGTTGATATCTTACAACTAAAAGAATCATTTTTGTTTGCAGAAAAACTGGATTTGGTGATTGATTGGATGAGCAAGTTCAGCAAAAAAGCAGACGGCTACGCAAAAAGCATTCGGGATCATGGTAATTTTCCATCTCACCTCATTCCAATGCCATTTATATATGTAAGACCAGTGATTGATAATCTTTGTTTCACTGCAAATGACAGTGAGCTTAGGCACAAACTTCTCGGAAACTTTGAAGGGAAAGTTCAGCCTAGGCGCGAAGATTCTTAAAGCCGGAGGTGTTGAGTGTGTCTTCAGGAAAAAATTCTGTGTCGAAAAAGGAGAGAAGCTGCTGAAGGCTTTCCAGTGCTATTTGTCAACCACAGCTGGTCCCATTGCGGGGCTGCTCTTTGTTTCCAATAAAAAGCTTGCATTCCACAGTGACAGATCTCTCAGACTCATCTCTTCAAAAGGAAACGTAACCAGAGTCCCTTACAAGGTAGATAGAATCTCTCTTTTTCTTGTTGAGTAGATCAAGATGGACAATAGCATCACTTAATAGTTTTGTGTATAAATTCTGCAGGTTTTGATCCCAGTAAATAGGGTTAAAAGTGTCAGTCCAAGTGAGAGCTATGACAAGCCTAACCAAAAATTCATTCAGATTGTTACAGTGGATGGATTTGAGTTTTGGTTTATGGGCTTCCTCAGTTACCAGAGATGTTTCAAGTGTTTAAGACGAGCCATGTCAGAATCCCAAGTTGGAGTTTTGCAATTGACTCATTCGATCGAAGTCTGAAGCCGTCTCTGCATGTATTCCACACACGAATTCAGTATAATGTAATTATGAAGACTGAATTCCTTTGTTTATTTATTGTCTTTGAAAAAGAAGAAAATTATATTAAATATAATTGAAAAGATAGATCTGGTGATACCAAAAAAAAAAGAAGAAGTGATTTTTTTTTTTGTTCTTTCTGATACACTAAATAGTTTTCGTCGTCTTTATCCCACCCATATAAGGCATTACATTTTTTTTTTCTTTTTTCTCCTCTTCATATTTCGATTTTTTCTTTTTAATCTTTTCTTCTTGGGAAGACGAAAACGATAGATCCCACGGAGGTGACTGAGGGCCTCCCGCGATAATAGCGATCGAGGTGATTATGACGTGTATATTATATTTTTTTTGAAAAATAAAAAGGAGAAAAATTCTCTCTACAATCATCGTGTGTTACTGACTTAATTTAACGCGGGGGGGAGATGTCAGGGAGCAAAATCTGAGAAGGAATAGAAACCCATCAAGATAACTACGTAAGGATTCATCCAACTTTGGTTAGACTTGCAACTTATAGTGCCATTGAGGGACTCGGCCACTTCGAAGTCTTTGTTACGTCATCCGAGGCTTTCCCGTGTCCCGGGGGGGTTTGGACTCGTCGCGATTCCCTTGTAAACCGCGTTTCTTCCCCTGCAAATCGCGTTCACCGTATCGCTATTCCGTACGAGCAAGAGTTGGGGGCCCCACTAAGCTGAATCGGACGCCTCTCTCTCTCTCTCTCTCTCTCTCTCTCTCTCTCTCTCTCTCTCTCTCT